GTAAGGTAAAGTCTGTTTACGAGCCTAGTGGCCCATTAGGCCGGTGCTTAACTCCGGTTTCTGTAGCATGAAGCGACTAGGAGTATTTCTACTCCCCCCTGGATGGGATGCCAGTCCATCACAGGGTTACCCCCAGCATTAAATTGCCAGTACCCATTTAAACACCTGGGTGAAGAGAGGCACTGAGAGAGCAAAGTGTCTTGCCTAAAAACACAACACAATGTCCCAGCTGGGGTTCGAACCCGGACCACTCGATCCAGAGTCGAGCGCACCAACCATAAGGCCAGTGTGCCTCCACAAATGGTTGCGAAGCACATGATCAATTTCTTCCTAGCTGGCTCAGGTTTCATGTTCTCTGCAACATGCAACACGAGTTGAACATGGAAGCGTCTACTGCAAATGACACCAAAACTCACTGTTGTGCTGAATTGCTTTTGACGTATTGAATCTTTTTTGAGTGATGAGAAAAAATCTATTTTGCAGTGGAAGCTAACAGCTCTCCTGCATTTAAACGAAATTTTCATGGTCTGATGTTGAATGCATGACTTTGTTCTAGCAAATGAGAGAAATCTTTTGGTCATGAAACCCCTGGTGTTTGTTAGCAAACCCATCCGTCTGAAATTATGAAACATCATAATTTAACACTTTGATATATTAGTTTGTTATTCTTTGATCAGAATTTGTATACCCCTGGTAAAAAAAAAAAAAAACAATTTGAAAAATCCAGAACACTTTTGTCCCTCTTTACATGAACAGAAACTGTGCTTTCTGTAGTTATTTATGACACTTTCTGTTGATAGGCAAGCTATCCTAAAAATTCAATGTATATCTACAAGACTACAGATCTCCTTTAGAAATCTAGACTACCTCTTGAATAATGTATCAAATCAATACTGTCATGGAGAGAAATTATATCCTTTTGGCAAATGAAGCATGTCAGTTTCTCAATAAATCAATCAATACTTTATTTACCCATATAGCATCAAGGAGCTGGTGGAGCTCATTCAAAATACGTACATGAATTCTGCTTCAGAATGCAACAGAATGCATCTCTGTGACTTAAGAATTTTAAAATTTTCTGGAGAAGCATGCCCCAATACTCCCCCTAAGAGGTGAGGCCCTTTCTGCCTTGCTTTAAGTATGCTCAGGTGCCAGGATTCATCTACTTGCATTTTCCAAGACTTCCATTGAGAACATACCTCTAGAGTATTTTCTACGGGAGAGAAATTATACTTAAAAACAGAAAAAATGGCATGTGCACAGAAGAAAAATATTGCCCTTTGTAACACAATCTCAGCAGGCTTTGTCAAACCTCAAGAAAATACAGATGGGGAAATGACATTTTAAAACCAACCCTTATTGTTGCATCGCAAAGGAAAGTCATCAAGAGGTATCCTAATAAGAGCTTAATTTTGAGGGCAGAAGATTTAAAAGCGCTAGCAAATGGTAGGAGTCACACAGGCCCTATGAACACCATTAGTCAACTGCCTTTTGCTCTCCAGCTGGCCAGTGTTTCAATTCATGCAAGGTAGAGTTATTCATTGATCAAGTGACTCCTTTCATTGCTCTATTTCAATAGTCCTTCATTCAGTGATCAAGATTGTAGATTAACCATAAAATAATCGCCTCGTGATTAGTTACCAGTAATTTGCCTGTACTTGGGAAAGTAAATTTACAACGTGATTGAGTACATGCAGGAAATGACTTTACAGTAATAACACTATGTAACGCAATACACGGAACACAACAATTGTGGCACAGTGCACTCTGATTAAAAGCTGTATTAAAGCATTCTGGTAAAAAGTGATGAATTGGAGAACTCGCGTCCCCTATATTCTTTTCCAATCCTAATTATGATACTGCTTGTTTGCTTGCTATGCTCGCTGCAAATATGTAGTGGGCCATGGAATTGTCAAATTGTTGCGAGGCCTCACCTGACTTAATAAAGTTTATTTTTCAGTTTACTTTATGGCCATAATTTGCAATGCTTTGGTGTGTTGTAGACTCAGAAGCCTATTCCATCATTTCGTAGACTCTGATAGCTGTGATTGTCCAAGCAGAGCTTTTGATAGCTTTTTCACTTTTAATTTTGAGCTCCAAAAGGTTTAACATATCGGAAAGAAACAGAAAATCTGAGTTAAAAATGTTGAAATTTGTCCACTTGGACCTCAGTTTGATCATTTATTGTGATTCATTAGGACTACTTGGTATGGGGAGTTAGGGTGAAAGCCTATTGCATGCGAGACAATTGTGCTTCCCCTGTATCGATGTGTTTATTTGCAAGGAGATGTTATTAGAAAGCTCCAACAAAGTAAGGTGATAATTTAAGATAAAAAAGAAATAACTTAAGAAAATGCAAGGTGACCCTTATTTTTAGTGACACTGAACAAAAGGAAAAAGTCTGTAATAGACAAGTGACAGTGATCAGGGTTAAAAATGGCCTCAATGCAGTCATTTTGTTGATTAAAAACTTTCATTGCCCTGTTCTGGGGATTGCATTGTCTTGGTATTTTAAAGATTTATACATATACTTTTGATTTTGTTTAAAAAAATCAAATTTAAATGGAATTGACAGGGAAATTTTTTTGTTCCCTTTTTAAAAAAAAAAGCAGTGTTTGTACTTTGTCAGATTTTGAACCTAATTATCTTGGAATGTTGCATGGCTACCCCCAAATTGGTTTTGGATTTTCAAAGCCCTTGATAAGATATATTCTACTTGCATAATCATTAGACAGGAAAAATTAGATCCCTATAGGCAGGCAAATAAGGCCTGAAAAAAAATTCAGCCCTGTACAGGGTTTGAACTTGTGACTGCTGCAATGCCAGTGTAAAGCTCTACCAACTGAGCTAACAATTAAGCCAACTGGGAGCTAGTCATTTTTATGGTTCATGAGAAATTTGTGAAGTGATAAGTAAATGCAGTCATCCCAGACCTTTATATCCTACAATTTGTATAGGATCCTATAAAGAGCCTATATTTCATGAAATCCTCCTATATTTCCTCTAAAATTTATTTAAATAGGACAACTGCCAAATGATTCATTCATATTTTTAATACACTTTCAGCATTTTTTGAGACAAAAGCTAATTAAATTCTTTCCTATGAATATTCACTCATTATTTCTTATTACTTGGCAAAGCCAATCAAAAAGAATATTAAAATTGATTTTAACAATATAGTAACAGGTCTCCTGTGGCAGTAAACACCAACAAACTGCTACTTAGGTCTCATATTTCAGCTAAATTTTGTTCAACTTCAAGGAGATTATGTTAAGCGCTAACTGAATCACCCAAGCTAGTTTTTACATTATGTTTAAAGACTTAGTGGCTTGAGTCTCAGGGTAAACCAAGGTGTAGCACATGCAGAAAATTTTAATCGCGACTTTCAGCTAAAATATAAATTTCTTTAGGTTAAGATTAACGAAGTTCTAAAATATCATTGGTTGCTGTTCAGATTACTGTTAAGTTGAATATTTACCACCAAACTAGAAGTAAAACCCTCAGTGAACTGATGCCTTGGGAAATGTTTTATCTCTCTTTCTTCCCTTTTGCATGCAAGGGAAATTTTGAGAATGGCTCATTTTGTCTTAAATTGTGGCAGTTTTGAAGGTGCTGAGAGCAGAAGTAGATTCTTTCAATTCTCTCCAAATTGAAGTGGCCTTTCTGAAAACAAACTAAATCATGTTTAGTTATTTACCAATACCTATTGATGGGCAAAATATGAGCCAAAGAAAATTTCAACTCAGGCAGTTGGTAGCTGAATTTTTATAGGCATAATCTGAAAAGCTTTTTTGGCTCCTACAAATTGCCTATATTTTTGGAGAAAATGCTATATTTTTCTATATTTAGAACTTGCACAGCCTATGATCCTATCAAACTGTTCAAAAAATGGCTGGGATGCCAGTAAATGACTGCAAATACCACTATACAAAAAATCGTATGTGAACTCCAGATTAAGAAAATGAGTGGGTTTTAATTACGAACCAACAATATGAGCAGCTCCCAGTTGGCTCATTAGCACAGTTTGGAAAGTACTACACAGGTATCTTACAGGTTATGGGTTCAACTAGGCTACAGTCCTGAACATTTTTTCTACTGCTTGAGTAGTGTTCTGTAATGTAAAGATTTCTCTCATATTCAGTGTGGGTAATTGTAGCACACAATGATTAGATTACGCTTTAATAGCCATAGGCTTGATTTTAACTAAATTGATGTGTTAATTCTTTTTCAGGGTTTTTTATTACAGGGAAAGAGACTTTTAAAGAGTAATGGATAATAGTAAAGAATTCCAGAGAGGTATTTATGAAAATGTTAGAATATATAGATGGGGTTCTGAGAAAGAAACTGGAGTGTCAGGGCTTGACACCAACAGTGGCCCACTAGCCACAGACTTATAGAAATTCAGTTTTGGCTGCTGGTTTTCAAATTCCACTAGCCAGTTTGGCTAGTAAACAAACTGAAATTGTCATAACATCTAAAAACATCCAAGATGTCACTAGCCACTTGGCTAGTGAATTGAAAAGTTAGTGTTGAGCCCTGAGTGTTATGCAACCTTCCCCATGCTTTTATTTTAGCAGCACTCCAAGCTGCTATTGATTATTTTTCTGTAGGGAGTAGAAAAATGTGGCATGTCATAATGTTTTTGTAACAGTTTTGGTATTATTTTACGTTGTTGGAAGTGGTTATCATCTTCAGATATAAGTATTATTTTCAGAGCCTAAAAAGGTATGGAATTTGACCGTGGGTTATGGGTAGTCATTGACAGTTGCTTAGAACCTTATTTTTCTGACATTTATTTAATGTTTTCTCTTTTTTTCACAACCTTTTAAAACCAACATCTGAAACATTGGTTTTGGGAAAACATTGGAAAGGTCCTGGAAAAGTAAAGCTAATAGAAACTTTGTGTTAACCCTGAAATAGGCTCAAGCTTATTTCAGATCCACTACTCTAGAAGGAAACTGAAATGCTTTGTGAATATATGTCAGACTAACTTGGATTGCTGTCCTAAATATGCTTATGTAGTATTTTTACCTGATTGCATGATTACTCCTGTTTATGTTTTGCCAAAGATCTGAAAGACTGGGTGTCAGAACAGCACTCTGTAGAAGGAGTTGCCTTGCAAAACAGTTTCAGCAGTGCAGGCAAGTTTAAAATTAATAAAAAAAAAAACACATATATGTTGGGGTGTATAGGTTGTTCTTGTTGGAATAATAACTCGGGTTAAGTTGCTGTTGCATCGTGCTAAGGTCAGTTTGCCTACCTTTCGTTCCCACTGTCACATGATTCTCACTTGTGGCTTCTAGTAGCTCACATCAACCCGTTTGGCCCTGCATACATCAGTTCTTAATATGGTTTTCCGCATTTCGTGATGGTTTTCATGGCATTACATGAGGGAGGCGAAATGGGTCATATGATACTACCAATAGTCCGTTTTACAGTTGTGTGCTTGTTTGCCAAGCCTTTGAATGGGAGTGAGGCTGGAGATGACCTTGTTGTAAATCACTTTGTTATCATGCTAAGTAGATACAGGTCTCTATCACAACAAGGTCATCTTTAGCCTCACTCTGAATCAAAGGCTTGGCAACTAAGTACACAACTGTAAAATGGCCTATTAATGCGCAAGTTGCAAATGGAGGTCAGGTTCCCCAGGGGCCCATGAGTGTAATAGCAGTCGCACCCAAGGCACTGGAACACCCAACTGGCCTGCTTAACCCACAACCCAGCCAATGAGCTCTGCACCTTAAGCCCCCAACAAGCACCCATCACACTAGAGCTTAGTGGAAGAAAAGTAAAGAAACAATGAAATAAAGAAGAGAATAATTATATAACGAGATAAAAACCCCTGAACAAAAACAAAAACAAAAAAACCAAAGAGATTGGGATTTGAGGGAGGGAATGCGGTTCTGTCCTCGTGTACCGGTTCACAAGAGCCGATACAAAAGACCAAACAATACACAACAGCTAACAAATGACTCCTAAACAAAGAAAGAACAATGGTAATTCCCTTGTGAACCGGTACACCAGGACAGAACCGGGAATGCTGAGAAGCTATCCTCAAGGACAACAATGCCACCCAACACAATGCAAGCACATGGGAGTGAGCAGGAGACAATTGCGCTAATTAGTGTGTGAACAGGAGAAAATCGCGTTAATCAGTAGGATCATGGCGTTGATTAGGATTCTTTGCACTACGAGATCCTTTTGTGCTATTTGCGATCGAGCATTTTCGTATATATTAGTTATAGTTAAATATTCCGTTCGTATTAAGTTTTTTTTTTTTTCCCTCGGAGAGTGTGGTTCGCTTAAGGTCTGGCCTGTAATCGACTAAAATAGAAATAAATGTTCTTTCTGGTGAACATTTAATGGTAGCAGAGCGAGGTTCAAATTATGTCAGTGGACGGCAAGCACAAAGAAGCGATGGACGAAGAGGAGGACCGTATCGAAAATTTAAATTAGCAAAAGGCGAAGGATAAATCAGCTTTCACTTGGATAAAGAACAAGTTGTTGAGCCTTCTAGACGAAGAAGATTATCCGAGTTGGCGGGAAGTCAAGGCGGTTTGTGAAAAACACTGTGAAGTGCAAGAACGCACAATGTCAACAATGGAAGAATTATCTCAAGAATATTTGAGCTGCAAAGAGAGAGAAAAACGCAAAGAGCTCACCGATGAAATGGACAGATTAAAAGTGGAATTTTCCGAGGCTCATGACAAGGCTCAAGAATATTTGGACAATCGGAAGGACGAACTATCGAGTTTGGTAACTGACGCATTAGAAAATACTCGTCGACGTCAAATTGAAGAAAGCGTCTTACGGAAAAGCGTGGAAAAGCAAACTCTAGAGGAGCAAACTAAGCGAGAACAAGACAACACTCGTGACAAAGAAGATTTAGAAGAATTACGTCGCCACTATCGAAGTCGTTTATTTGTTGAAGGGGAACTTCAAAATTTGAAAGAGTCGGAGTTCAAAGGACTGGAAACAAGAAAAATTTCTGCGAACAATTTGGAAGAAAGCGTTCAATGGCATCGCTTGGTAAGGATATGTGGAATCAGCGTAAGCGTGTTTCAATTCCTGTAGTCAGTGGTGATAAAAGATTGTAAGAGGGTTGGAAAATGGCTTTCATGGCGTGTGTGGACAAGGCACCTGCTACACCAGAGTATAAATTGCTTCAGTTGCGTCAATATTTATCTGGCAAAGCATTAAAGGTCGTGGAACCCTTGGGCTACTCTGCGACGGCTTATGAAACGGCAAAAGAAAGATTGGAACGAAAATTTGGCGGCAAACGGCGTCAGGTTGCCTTGCATTTGGAAGAATTGGAGAACTTTAGGCCACTTCGCCCTGGAAATGCAAGGGACCTCGAGAGACTTGCAGATTTGTTAGATGTTACTGTAGTAAACCCGAAGGAAGCTGGTCGGCATGATGAATTAGGAAGCGGATCACTGTACCTCAGTTTGTGTAAGAAATGGACAGAAAAAATGTTAGCGCATTATTACCGGTGGATTCATGAAAATGGTCGTTGGCAGTCACTGGAAACGTTGAGAGAGTTCATCATCCAGGAAGCAGAATTTCGGACAGTAGCATCGGAAACAATTCACGGTTTGAGTGAGAAAGGACTTAAGAAGGTCGGTGGAGTGACCTTTTTTGGGTAACACGCAGAAATCTTCAGGAAATTAGACAGGAGTTGGATTTCGACCTTGTAAAGTTTGCGGTGGTCATCATGGAGTTTGGCGCTGTGACAGGTTCAAGGCTATGAGCCTTCCAAAGAGATGGGAAGCTGCCAAGAGCCTTAAACTGTGTTATCTTTGCTTGGGAGGAGATGATAGTGGAGAAACGTGTGTTAGATCGAGAATTTGCGGGATAAATAATTGTAAGAACACTCACAACCGATTATTGCATAGAGACCATGTAGCACCAGATCGAAGTGAACAGGTGAACTCTCCTGACCGCCGTGATGTGGAACAAGGAGCATCAGGTGGTTCCCAGGTCCTCGCAGAGAGCAAAACGATTAATGAAATGACTCTTACTCTTCCTCAAGACCCAGTTGAGCAAGCAGCAGAGAGGTCTCACACCACATTGACTTCACAGATCGTGCAACCAAGATTTGTGGCCCTGCGCACAGTACCAGTGTTTCTGAAGAACGGCTATCGCAGAATTAAAGTGAACGCATCGCTGGACGATGCTTCAACGAAGACGAATTTAAATGCTGACGTAGCCGCTAAGCTTGGACTTCAAGGGCATCCTCAAAGTGTAACTGTGAATGTTCTAAATGGACAGGTTGAAACCTTCGAGACTATGCCAGTTAAGGTCGAGTTGGAAAGTTTAGATGGAAATGCGAAATTATCTGCAGATGGAGAGATAAACGCTAAGCTCCAAGCACGTCAAGATCAGTACAAATCACAATACAACAAATCTTCCAAGCCCCTTCCTGCCACACACCCTGATGACCCAGTGCGTGTACTTACCCCACATGACCACAAGTCGGAACCTGGTATTGTCAAGTGTAGCTCCCAGACCCTCGCTCATACACGGTCACCGTGGCAAATGGCAGCACCCTCGGGTGAAACCGCAGTCATATTCGTCCAACAGGAGAGAACATTAAAATCCAAAACAATATCCCCAGTGATGAACCACTAACACCCCTGAATGAAATCTGCAGCACCATGCCCAGCATCTCGCGTGACAACGATGAACAGACCACACTGGCCTCTGACGCACCTGCTAATACACCTCAGTTGAGACGTCCAATTCCAGAAGCTCCGCTCTACCGATCCTCAAGATCTGTCAAGTCCCCCTGACAGACTGGACTTATAGACTGAACTTAAAAAACTTATTTTGTTGTTTTGATTGCTGTCTCATTCTAGGTCACTTGTTGTGTGTGATCTTCATGTTCCATATTATTTTGTTTTATTTATTTTTCTTTTTATTATTTCCTTTCTTTTGCGAGTTCACAGCTCCTTTAAAGGAGGGACATGTCATAGTTTACATGCGGTTTTGTACCTGTGCGCATGTACATCGGTTTCCGGTGTGTACACATATTGGCAGAATTAAAAATGTTGTTGTGTTTATTACCTGAATCTCATTAACCTTCATTCATCCCGACTCAATATCACATCATACACTAACAGTACACCAGTAAAAATGCTACTGACCAGATTAGCTCCTAGTTGTTAACTATGTAAAATTTGATTTAACAATATGTAACTTATACTGACTACCAAGAAAAGCCAAAACTCCAAGCAATTTACTCATATAATAAATTGAGTTTCAAAAGTGATTCATGGTTGATTTAGTTTTCCTTTACTCTGCAATGTGATTGGTTCAGAAACTTGTCACACTTTCTCAACTTATCAGATTTAAAGTAAACCAATTGCATTTTGGTCACACCTGTTTTCCAGTTTGCTTGTTTTTACTTTGAGCTTGCAGTATGATAGGTATATGAAGTTGTGATTGGCCATTATGATTACTTTGGTTTATGTTCCTTTATCACAAAGTACTACATATATCTTGTGCACACTTACAACTGCTGAAATGAATTTATTCATGTGTAAAGAAAAAGACTATGGGAGAGTGATAGTTTCCGTGCCTAAACTATAGTATTCTTTGCAGACATGGTGAAAAATGTGCCTCTTGACTTAGAGTCTGTTTCTCACGTGGCTCCAACAACAGAGGTCCAAAGTCAATTTGTGGGTACAGGGAGGTTTCCAAAGCTACCTAATGAGGATAATAATGCAGTGGGTATTCCAGCAGCAAAGTTACATTACATTATTTCTGATCACCAATTACTGTTGGTTAAAAAAAAAAGATTAATTACTACTTCATGATGCTTTTTGTCAGATAGCTATCTCTTTACAGAAGATTTTATGAATGTAAATTGGCCACTGTAAAGAGCTTTGAAAGCTGATCCTCTGGGTGTTAGCCCTTTGTCATTCGTTCTGCTGAAGAGCTAATGCTTAAAGCATCAGCTTTTAACTCTCTTTACAGTGGCCAATTTACATCATCAACTCAGTTGATAAAATCGCAATTACCTTGTTACCTCCACCGACCCAGCATCACAGTTTCTTTATAAACTTACGCTCTTTACAGAAGATATTTTTTGAGACGGTACTATTTCACTTGTCATGAAAATCGTCCATTCCTGGATGAAATTATTTACCTACTCATTGAATTATTTTTTAAAAATTTATGTACTTATTAGTGACCATTATTACGATGGTTATTCATGTATCTATTATTTATTGTTAGGCTCTGATGAATCGAATTTCTGACCTCAAACACGTAATAAAAGTGCGGGAGGAAGAATTAGAGGTATGTAAATCTGTGGAAAATTAGATTGTGTCATCAATAATTATAGTTGATGAGTAGGTTTTTTAGCAGATCAGCTGAAGCACCATATTTTTGTCTCTTTCTTTATTTTGTGTTATTTTTTGTTGCTAACTATTATTACTTCGGTTTTAGTCTTTTAGTGTGTAGAGGTCCATGTGCACTTGAACTGATCTCTTTGTAGTGCTGTGTGGATGTGTACATATCTATTGCTGAAATCCATGTGCTAAATCTTCAGTAGTCAGGCCATATTTATTACACTGAAAGGGTGTCTGGAGGTTTGGATTGAAGACCTGTGAAAGGAGACAGCCTGCTCTCAAATGGAGTAGCCAATACCTATTTCCATTCTTATCACTGATTGTTTTGCTTCCCTTGAAAATGCCTGTTGATCAGTGTCCACATTGTTTCAATGCTTGACAACTAAAACCCCTCATTAGAAGGATAATGAATTCCTTTAAAGATTCAAAGATCTCAATTTTCCTACTTAGAATTATACTGAGCAGTCCTCAGGAGTACAGCCCTCTAAAATAACTAAATATTTATAGTTACTCCAATCCTTTCCAATTTCCCTTTTTAAGTTATTGGTCATTTTTCCAAGGGCTCCCACAGAAGGAGGTAGTCAAATCAATCTGACCGATAAGAGGCTGCTTTTGATCAGTTAGCTCGGTTATTTCAGCGCATTGTGAAAATAAAACAGTGACATTAGTACGTATTTGCAACGTGAATTGAATTGTTTGAAGTTATTTTATTTTGTTTTGTTCAGTGTTGTTTTGTTGTTGTTCTTTTTTTTTTTTTGTACAGAGAGAGAAAGTATTGACTTCACAATTGCTCAATCAAATCTCCCTCATTGGAGAGGAGCTAAGGGTATGCCAACTCTTTCTCAGTTATTCAAAATCTGAACCAATCTCAAACTTAAGCCCAACTGCTTTAAAACGCTGACGCTTTGTTTCGGCGATGAAGGCAGATGACATAACCTTTCTCAACCCTGCAGTTCTTCTCAGCCTACTATCCGCAATTTACAAAGACCCGCTATCGTCATAGATACCTTTTTAGCCACTATTTAACAACTATTCACCGAAGTGGAGATGGTTAGTGGTGGATATTTACCGAGCCGCGAAGCGGCGAGTTAAATATCCACCGCTAACCACCTCCACTTCGGTGAATAGTTGTTTTAGTATATACTAAAACAGTGAGATAATATACACCACCAAAAATTAACTTGAATAATTTCTTCGCTTGTCACGGATGCAAACCGGGACGCCATTTCTTCCCGAGTTGCTCGGAGGTAAATAGCAAAGGATATTCGGAGTTTGACTAGCCAATCAGAGCGCGCCTTCAACGCTACTGGGCATTATCGCTGACTCAAATGTTAAAATACTCTCTCTTCACACTCAAGATGTTTCTTCAAACTTTCTACAGTGTGCCGGTCATACCTTTAGGTGTTTGCCGCAGAAAACAAACGAACAAGAAAACAAAAAACAAAGAGAAACAGAAAACGATTTTCAGAGGTTTGAATCTTAAAATGAGTTGTTCACGTTCAATTTTGCAATTTAGCTTCCTGAAGAGAGTGCCTTTTCGCCGAAACTAGAGGCTACGAACAGGATGGGAATGTGTGGTGAGGCGGGGTCAAAATTTGTAGTGCCTGCAAAATCTTTTTAAAGCCTTGTTCTACATTAAATGTTCACTCAGAATATGCTTTAAGTGTCGTGCTGAAGAAGAATGAAGTCGATGTGCCACGATTCGTTTAAACATAGAGAAAAACCGTCACGTAGTGTAGTGTATTGTTTTAGTATATACTAATTCCCACTACTACTACCAGAACGCCAAGCTTACGAGCAAAAAAAACATCATAGAAAATTAACTAGCACAAGGAGGGGAAAGTCTAGAACGAAAACGGTTTTAAGTTTGGCCTTCTAAACTGTTAAAAAACTGCCAAAAAAGTACGTCGCACTTGGGTTCACCATCAAAAAGCCAGGTTAACCGTGAAAAAAACACAGCGGTCAAATGTCTGCGTATTTGTGAACCTTTTAATGACCGGGTGTCGTAATTTCAGGATGTATCGCAAAGTTAAAAATAACCACACATGCCCGTGAATCAAGGTGTTTAGAAGCTTACAACTTTTTTGGTAAGCTCAAATCAGAATAATAAACTTATAGGGTACCCGTTCTTAATAAGCTTTGTGTTGGAAGAGTATCGAGTTTCCTTTTTCCCACTTTAGTTTTCTTCACAAATCTTTATGGACGTTTTAATTCTTCGCCCACATTTTTATGGCAGCAGTCGTTTTTTATGTTTCCTTGAGAAATTTTGCGTGGGAAACTGACGCGTAGCTGGCCAAAATTGAACCACTCGCCTATGATCGACGTTTGACCTTTCGTTGCTTACAAGTAGCTATGCTGCTAGAATTTAAGTTTGCATATGCCACTATCTGACTGCTGTGATTCTCTAACCCCGTGTCAGCCGTACTGAACTGCTGACATGAAGCCGAAATCCCTCTGAGCTCGAGATTGAATAATTCATGTACACCTTTTCTGTTACAGGAGAAAGATGTAAAGGTGTTGGATCTGGAACAAAAATTATACTCTGCAACCGAGAGGTACGACACAATTCAGAAAGAATTACTCAAAGTGCTCAAGGAGGCAGAAGAACACGAAGAACATCTTATCGACGAATTCAATCAAGCTAAGGCATCGTACCAGCAGAATTTATTGGCCGAATGTCATGAAGAGATCGAAAGGCAAACCCAGCGGGTGACTAGTTTTTACGTAGCCGAAAAAGAGCAATTAATTCGCCAAGCCCACCAGGTTATAAATCACATCCGGGCGCAAGCTCATTGGGAGATTGAAAGACGGCATCAGGAGTTTGTGACAACCCTGGGAAAATTTCAAAGAGCAGCTCAAGAGAACTGTGCGAGACACCAGCAACAAGAGAGTCGCAGCTGGTTTGTTTCAAATGAAGTAGAAGTGAACCGAGAGAAGATCCTAGGGAGTGGAGCCTTTGGAAAAGTTTATAAGGGAACATTCCGCGGAACCCCAGTGGCTGTAAAGGAACTACATGAAGTTATCATTTCTGCTCATAATTACACCCTCTTCGAGCGAGAAATGCAAATTGCTTCGCGACTTCGACACGAGAATGTGGTTCTATTTATGGCTGCAACACTCGTAAATGGAATCCCATTAATAGTTACAGAATATGCAAACGGTGGTAGTCTGGCAAGTGTCTTAAAAGATAACACATTGCAGCTTCCAGAGGTAGTTTCCATTGCTCTTGATGTAGCACAAGGAATCCTGTACTTACATCTTCATCCTCATCCTGTCCTTCATCGGGATATTAAACCTGACAACGTGCTCATCTTTGAAAGAGGGCTACCCCCAGTAAGAATTGCCAAAATTTCCGACCTCGGTGCGGCAAATCTTCACCGCAGTATCATGACTCCCAACCCAGGAACACCTTTGTACGCTGCTCCCGAGACAAAGACCGAACAATACACCTCAAAGGTAAGTGTCTGATTTCTCTTCCAAGCAGATTAGGTTTAAAATCCTGATTTCCACACCATTGCAGGATCGCTGGAACCACTCCAAACACAATAGAATGCTACGCATGTCAGTTACTTTTTGTTTTTTTTGTGGCTACTGTCTCCTTTGGGGGCGAAGCAACCTATGTTATCGAGATGAAATAGTGAGCGAGAGTAACACTAGAATTCCGATCTTTCTTGGTGTTACTTATTGTTTTTTCGGAGTATCTTAGTTCGACATTCGCACTCGATACACAGATAAGTTCTCTCCTTTCGTGACTTTTGGCTTACAGCCACTAGCACACCATGTTTTCAGTTCTTGCCATAACGATAAGTATCTCTCTCTTTTCAGGATTGCGCGCGATTTTGAAAAAAAAAAGTTTCCATCGGAGAAATAGCTTAATAGGTTTGATCGGCGTATCAAGGAACTTGAAGGAATAATTTTTTCTTTTATGTTGAACCGAAGGTATGATATTTTCAGTTCTTGCCAGGACACAACAAAGAACGATAAGCTTCACAAAATAATTTTGCAATAACAAACAGTGTCGCATAATTTAATTCAAAACTATTCCTTGCGGAAATATTCCAATAGTTATGATATGCTCTTCATGGAAGCTGTGAGGATTTTGTTTAATTTTAAAAGAGAGCATTTCACTGTTTGAATCAGCGACTTTAAACGTAAAGAGCCGCTAAATTAGCCGAGCGGGGAAGCTGCAAAATACGATACCTTGAGTTATTCAACTGAATGATGGAACGAAGGAATAGTGGATTGGCGGAATATCTTATGATGCAAAATGACGGAACATCCTAAACCGCGAAGCACTTTTTTGTACGAAACAGAAGTCTCAAAAAATGGCATCACAATAAAATAGGAAAATTATTTATAATTGAGGGGCGAAATAAAAAAAAGCATGGGTAATCATTGTTGGAGCTTAGAGGATTTGGGAACCATGGGGCCTTTGAGCTAGCCCCTTTACACTATTATGTTATTACTATTGTTAGCACTATTTTTCTTTTTACCATTATTTGTTACCATTTGGTTATTGGTTTAATGTCAATCAGACGATGTATATATTCTTGAATCATCTCATGTTCTCTAGTGGAAAAGGGTACTCGAAAATAAGTGGGATGTGGCAGGTTTTGTGTTTTGCATCCCAGACAGATTTTCTGCCATACTTCCGATGCAGTGGTTCTACTGGGCACTATCGCTGATTAAAACGTCTAAATTTTCTTCGAAAAAAAGCTTTTTCTTCAAAGTTCTCATGATGCGCCTATCACACTTATTGAATCTTTCTGCAATAATTTTCTTTTTTCATTACACGTCTTCGAGAGGCCTTTGTTGTCTTCTGCAGTGTCACGGCAAGCAAAAATTGTATCTTCTGTTCTACTGGGCATTATCGCTGACTCAAATGTTAAAATACTCTCTCTTCACACTCAAGATGTTTCTTCAAACTTTCTACAGTGTGCCG